AATGAGAAAGAACTCACGAGGGGAGCGCTTGGATACGAATCGGAGTCAAAACCGGAGAAAGGGAACAGAACCGAGGACAGCAGACTTGGGGAGGTGTCTGGGACCCACTTTGAGACTCAGCACCGTCACTCGCTTGCAAGCAGACAAACCGCTGGAGCTACTACTTCTGAGGCACTCAACTCCTGTCCACCGACTCCAGAAGAGTTGTAGGTGAATAAAATGTATCCAATGCCCACTTTTTAGACAGCCTTTCCACAAGTTGTTCTGATGATCTTTGTCTTCACTGAGCATTGTTCAAGTGAGTTGAGTCTTTTCGGATGCTTGCTCATCCAGCGAGTGGATGCTATTGTAAATGTGGTCGCATTATCCTTTTAAGACGTCAAGTTCGTTGATTAGTCGAAATGAAGGTCCCCCTAACAATTTTATCTCAGGAGATTCATCGAAACTAAGTTTCTCTTCGTATCTACACTGCGTCAACATGGATATAATATAAAAGCTAAACGGCTGCAGTACAACGATTTTCATCTGTCCTCATCTGGTGAGATCGAAAAACGAATCTCTTTTTTATGTACTTTCATTCGAAATGAAGGTCCCCCTAACAATAAACAAAAAGTTTCCAAAACTTCATGCCATGCAATTCTCTTCAAGTGTCGCTATGCAAAAGCTCGTGGAATGGGCATTTCCAGTTTCATTGAAACTACATTTATTCAACGTTGAGGTGAATTTTACCCTCCTGCTAAGATGTGCCGTAGAGGCAACCTTAACTCGGCTTCACCGGCAGTTTCCCTTGACGTTGGGGTTGACAAAATCCACAAAATATCCTCCTTTGTTTCGCATGAAAGGCCCTATCACAGCTGCAATTTATCATTATAAACATCACTCACAAAAGATTGTATAAGCAAACTATTAATATTTATTAAAATATCATTATATTATAATAACATATATAGTAATATATTAAGTTATATCATTATATTATATTTTATTATCTTATTAGTATAATAAATATTATATTTACTATAATATAGTATTTGTATGATGTGAATATTGCATTATAATAGTATATATTTTTTCACCAAATACTAGTTCAGAGAGACATATAATGATATGTCAGTTTAGTCCTCATGTGTGAATACGAACTCTCATTGATCGCTCTGACTCATTTAAGTGCATTACAAAGATGGCGTAGTGATTACACAAAATGGAACACGTAACAATGATATGACGTCATTACCATTACCCGTTTGCTTGAGTCGAAATGGTTATTAAGCCTTGATGACCCAGCAGAGCTATTCAGCTCTACTCTTTTTACAACAATCATCACTGGGACTTCGTACCAGCCCCTGCATATACACACATGCACACAGGCAAAAATGTGATCAGGCATAGACATGCATACTAGTGGTAAGCCATTACAAATAAAAGGATAATATCTATAGGCCGGCAATTCATCCTAAAGCTTGGTGACAATGGTTTCGATGAAAATGCACTTTTTTAACTTGCGGATTGCCTCTATTCTGATACCGTCGTGGACAAATGGTGGCTCATGGATACATGATGTACTCGATAACAAGTCGGCTAGGCAATCTTTTAATGCTAAAATAAAATAGGATTCTGGGAGGTCAGAATGATCCCAAATTTTCTGTCAGAAATATGAAAACCCGGGACTACTTTAAATTGAGTACTCGTATTGTGAAAGCATAAAGCTATCAGGTTTATCACTTCTTGTTGGTATCAGTACTGTCCGAAAAACTGATAAGACAAAGTTTTTGTCACATTAAACCAAAGTTCATAC